CCACAGGCCGTGGAAGATCCAGAAAGGAGGGGAGAGGAACACACAGAGCCTGCTAAGGATGCAGTACAAGGGGAGAATTCCAGTCCTGGTGGCAATTAGGAGTGACCCAGTTGGCAGGGCTGCCTCTGCAGAGAGGTTGCTGCCACCCTCTTTCCTGCTGTGGCAAACAAGGTTTGTGCAGACATGGTTTACCAGCCCTGGCTATGGTGGTTTGATTCTGGCTGGTATAAGGATTCAGTTTCTACATCCCCTCAACTACCAGGCTGCCATAAGAAGAATGCTGTTTCTAGGTTGGGGAGCCAAGTAGCAGAAACCAGATGGTCACTAGGCTTTCAGACTCAGGCTAAAGTTGTTTCACTCTTGGTCTCCTTCTCTACCTTCAAGGCCCTCTTGTGGCTCACTGGATACTTTCAAATCCCTTCCTTTAAGCTCAGCAAAATCTCCAGCTACTTTTTTAGTGGATGGAAGTGTATTCAACAGATTGGGTGTCAACTAAACATATAGAAATAGAAAGTGGAGACAAAGACTTCTAATTCAACCTAATTTTTTGGGATAGGGAAATTGTGATATGTATTAAAATAACGGGAAAGTTGCACAGTTGTTGCAAGTAGAAGAGTAGAAGTGCATGTGTACATATGATGAATCAACAGGTTTGAAAAAGATGTTATTGATACAGATTTTCCTTGGCATGGTGCTAGATGGTGCATAGTATCCATTTAGAGCATAATTTGTGCTGGCAGACCTGTCTTGGCTTTATACCAAGGCTATGGTTTGGATCCCAGTTATTTCCTATTGCCAATAGGTTAGAAACTTAGTCCCTAAGGAAGCACCATTAGGAGGCGGTAAAAACCTTATAGGTGGATTCTAATGGATGGATATAGGCGATGGGGCTTGGCCCTGATGGGGTTGCTAGGACTCCAGGTACATTATTTCTATTTCTTTTGCCCCCAGAACATGAGATGAAGGAATAGACTTCGCCATTCCCATCTCAATGCACTGCTTCACTACAAACCCAGAGTCTTTTTTTAAATTTATTTATTTATTAAAAATTTCCACCTCCTCCCCATCTCCCTTTTCCTTCCCCTTCTCCCCACTCCCTCCCTCTCCAGTCCTAAGAGCAGTCAGTCTTAAACATGCCTTCAACACCTCACAACACATCTCTGTAAAGTAAAGGGGCTCATTCATGACGTTATCAGAGGGAAAACACTACATTTTTAAAATATAACTTTAAGGGCTTTGTTTTATTTTTAAATTCTCATTCTGGGTCATCCTACTACAGGCCCATTGAGCTGATAAATGCTTAGAGTCTGTTCTTGAAAGAAAAATTGCTTAGAATTGAGAAAAACCTAGTTGGAACAAAATGTGAAGACTGTTTTGATCCATGTGCTAGGTAGGCAGTGTCAAGAAGAGAAAGGAGGCTGCACCAGCACTAACACAGTTTTATAAACCTATGAATCTCTAGCACCTACCATAGTCCTAACAAAAGATGATACTCAATGTTTGCTGAATTAACAAGTAATGTAGCCATCATATTTTCTAATATGGCCTCCAAGCTACAAGCACTCCTTGTGGTAAACCCCTTAATGCTACCATTGAAGATTACTTTGCCTGTTTTCAGTTGTATGTTTTGGCAGAGGGGAAGTCAAGGTATTATTTACCTAGGACTAGAGGAAGTCACATTGTTTTAATAATGGCTGCCATAAGGCTACTTCATAAGAGTGACATTTATCATTCTAATTCATAATGGATGTCTAGAGTAGATTCTCTGGAACTGTTTCTTTTCAGTCACTAAGGAATCTTATAGCTCAAATCTAAAGCAGTTTCTTTTATTTTATAAAAGAACAAAGGATCAACCAACATTCCATATTATAAGAATGCCAGAATTGCAAAGCACTCCCCACATGGGAGGTCATTTGGCTCTCAGAGAAGATAGCAGGAAGATCGTGTATAAGAACCGAATAATGTATCTCAGTGACATGGAAGAGGAAGTTATTCTGGGTCAACTGGTTCTTGGGGAATTACTAGTTATTGTGGTAGAGTTTTAGACACTAACTTACAGGCTGTGTTCATGGGGAATGGAATTTGTTGATATGTACACAGTGATTGTGTGATAGTTTCTTAAAATTCTTCAACTGAAGCTTTATTTGTTAGGCTCAGAGAACTGACAGTATGTTGATAACGGCTGCTAAGAGGAGAGATCTTGAACTGATATTTGACTTAGGCTAATTAACATCATATTGTCATTGGTTAGCATGGTGGTTTGAATGAGAATGGCTCCCACGGATTCATAGATTTGAATACTTGGTCACCAGGGAGTGCGCTATTTGAAAGGATCAGGAGGTGGCCTTGTTAGAGGAAGTGTGCCACTGAGGGTGGGCTTTGTGGTGTCAAAATCCCAAGTCAGGCCCAGTGTCTCTTCCTGCTGTCTGAAGATCCAGATGGAGAACTCTAGGCAACCTCTCCAGCACCATGTCTGCCTTCATGCTACCAAATTTCCTGCCATGACAATGATGGACTGAACCTCTGAAACCGGAATTAAGCCCGATGCCCCAATTAAATGCTTTCCTTGATAAGAGTTTCAGAGGTCATGGTGTCTCTTCACAGCAATGAAATACTGACCAAGACAGTCTGCAAGACCAGCTATGGGTTTTAGGATGGGCATCGATATTGTGTCTGATATTTAGTTTTCTTCCTTACTTCTTCCCCTCCTTTCTTCCTTCCTCTCTTCTTCTCCCTCTTTTCCTCTCTTTCAGCCAACATCTCATTATGAGGTTCGGGATGATCTGGACCAGTCTAGCTTAAATATGTGGTTCTCCTATTTTAGTCCATCACACGCTGGTTTACAGGCATGTACCTCTGTACCCAGACTTCTTTCTTAAGACTTCTCTTTGTCATATTAAAATCTAAGTTAACTCTGTCTATAAAGCCTATTCAATTTTTATATAATCTCGATGAGTTAAGTATTGGTATAATTTTCATTTTTGTTTAAATGAGGAAACCAAAGTAGAGAGACCAAAGGTCTATAAAAGACCTGGCAAGCAAACCTTAGAACACAACCCAGATGCCAGTGGCCATATTTAGCTCTATGTTCCTAATTCTGGGGCCAAGTTGAAACTCAACATTCCTAACACCAGGGACCAAGCTTTAACTCCTACACAATGTTTCTTAAGATTTATAGAGTGGTGATATTTCAAACTTTTATCAATCATTCATGCACATTAGAACAAGTGGATTTCTCTCCATTGTCTTACCTCAGAAGAAAAAAATCAAAAGAAGCCAGACCAGTCCCTGCAGGACCATGCCTCCCACTTCTTGGGAAGCAGAGTAAGGAAAAGCAAAACTCAAGGCCATCCCAGGCAACTTACTGAGACCTGTCTCACAATGAAATGTACAAGCAATGCTGGGAGAGTGCTTGCCCAGACCTTGGGTTCAGTTGCCAGCACTGAACAAAGAACTAAGGAAGGAAATGAGAGAGGGAGAAGAGAATAGGGGAAAGAGGAATAACACTGGCAGAGTTTTATCTACTTTGTAATATTGTGGAAGACTAATCTTTAACCTAAATATTAAAAATATGGTTTAGTATATGACAACTCCAGTGAAGAAAATATGAGTCTGACGGATTATTTCATGGATGGAACATAGTGCATGCCTGCCTCTTGTGCATGCTGGTTGTGATTTCTTTTCTTTTCTTTTCTTTTCTTTTTTTTTTGGAGACAGGGTCTCCAGTCTCCAAATTCCTCAGATTGAGTTTTATTAGGCTGAGGGATACAATTCGTGCACCCATGCATTTTAAATGCACGCCAAGACAATATACTGGTAATTATTTCATAATCCTCTTGCCTTCACCCACTGAAAGCTAAGATACAGGCATAATTCTCTGCGCCCAGCTGCTTGCATCTTAAGGTAAAATGCAAATAGAACTCTTCTCAGATGAGTTTTCTTACCTATTGAAATTTTTATTCTTAAAGATTTCTTAAGCACTGTCCTGATGAGGTTCTAAAGACAAGGGATTCTGTTTAGTTCTCTGTGAACTCTTACAGCATGGTTTTGTTGTTTCTGTTTTACTGTACGAGGAGTTGCACCTACAACCAGCACATGTTCCTTAAAGAGATTGTCTTTCTCCTTGCTTATATACTATCACTTTCCCGGAGTATTATTTCTGTTACTAACTATATTCATTGGAAATCACCTGCATTTTATCTAAGGTAAGTGTTGGACACTCTTCTGCTGCTGTGGTAAAACATCTTGACCAAGGCATCTTATAAAAAAAAGCATTTAATTTGGCTAATGGTTTCAGGTTAGAGTCCCTGTAGGCAGAGCAAAGAAACATCTGAGAGCTCACATCTTGATCCATATTCACAAGGCAGTGAGAGACATGGGGGGAAGGAGGGAGGGAGGGATAGAGGGAGGGAGAGAGAGAGAGAGAAAGAGGGAGAGAGAGAGGAAGTGTGAGAGGGCTAGGGATGGCACCATTCTCTTGAAACCTCAAAGTCTGCTGTCTTAGTTGGGGGTTACTATTGCTCTGAAGAGACACTATGACTAAGATGACTTATAAAGGACAGCATTTAGTTGGAGACTTGCTTACAGTTTCAGAGGGTTCGCACATGGTTGTCATGGTGGAGAGCATGGTGGCAGGGAGGCAGGCATCATGCTGGAGCAGTAGCTGAGAGCTCATATCCTGATCAGCAGGTAGCAGGCAGAGACAGAGGGCTGCCATGGACTTTTGAAACCTCAAAGCCCACTGCCTGTGATAAACCTCCTCTCACAAGGCTATACTTCCTAATCCTTCCCAAACATTTCCACCAACTAGAGAGCAAATATTCAAATATATGAGTCTATTGGGGCTATAATCATTCAAATCACCACAGCAAGGAAAATGCAAAACAAAACAAAACAAAAACTCAAAATCAAAACAAACAAACAAAAAATCCCAAGTATTTTTAGGTGGCATTAGAAATGTAACTGTACTTTGAAATCGTGAACACTCCTTTCTTTTGCAGAAAAATATGTCATTGCTCAACCAACATTTGTTTTTGAGAAAGGAGAACACACTTTCAAGGTAAGATCAAACTATTCTGGTTTCGAAAAGTAACACTTTAAGGAGGTAGTTGATATTGTAGACTCATGATTTTATCTTGGCCTTCTTCACTACCTGAATGCTCTTGGAGTTGAGACTCAGAGACAACAGCTTGGTTGAAATCTTTAAGTTGTGGTAAAGTGGTTTACCTAAAATAATATGCTTATTTGGAATGACTTTAAAAAGGTGACTTAAGAAAAAAGAAACAGAAAAAGATTAGGAAAGTTAAATAGCTCCTTAGGTCCTTGCTACTGAAAGATCCTAAGACTGGGTATAAAAATCTCCAGCATGCAATCTTAGTTTGAAAGGCTTCTAGAGTCTGTCTGATGTCGAAACATCATCCTAGAGCCATAGGAGCTGGAGGATTAGCTGTCCCCACCCACCACCTTATTAAGGTTGTGAGAATTCAACCTTACATGCAGTTGTTAATGAACTGCTCACAAAATAAACTACCTTTTCTCCTTTGTTCAAAAAGCAGATTCTTACTCCAGATCAACCACTTTAGAATCCTGAGAGCAGGTGCCTCAAAAACCTACATTTTAAACGAGTGTTCAGAAAAGATTTTATAATCACAAATCTATCCCCACTGGGGAGACTTCTCTGTTGCCACGTTCTTGGTGAAACTGTGGCGTGTCACTTTGTCCCTGTGAGCTGAAGAGCCCTGGCTCATGAAATTCTCTTAGACAGAGGCGGGGTGGGGAAATGATGCAATAACAGCAAATGCACAGTGGTGTATAACTGGTGGTTCTGTGTCTTCCCAGAGACCTGCAGAGGACAGCCTGGATGAAGAAGCGGCAGAACATGGTAACGAATTACGTCCTGTGTTGTGAAACCCCAAACCCCAATCTTCATACAAGGGAAATAGTGAAGCGCGAGCATTTGGGCTGTGACCCCGACTGTAAGACGTGATTCCCGAGAGTCCCGAGAACAGTGACAGGAGCACTGCCTCTGTGATTCTAGGCTGAACTTGAGGCTGTATATAGTTTCCTGCAGAAGACTCGTTTCTAACTGTCCCATGCTAATATGGTGTCTGTAGGTTTATAATCATCTAAGACCCCTCCTATTTAATGTTGGGCTCCACGAGTCAGCACGTTGTGAAATGATGACCTACCCACACAAAGGGGTTGATTCTTCTCCCGCACTGTATGTTACTGTAAATGCAATCCCTGTTGAATTTCTTTTAGAATTCAGTGGTTTCTCAAGAAAACGCATAAGGTCTTCATCTGTCACGCTTTATAGTACAGATTCCCAGTCTCCAGGAGGTAGGTAGAGTTCAACTATTATTCTGCATGTGAAATTACTAAAAAAAAAAAAATTCCAACTGGACATTTAAAAGTAAGCACCTACAAAATAAGAACATTAAGTTCTTTGAGAAGAACTTCATCATACACTGTATTCTGAGCCATTTGAGAACAGTTTGCCCATGCGCACATTAACATACCCATGTGCAGCTGTGCCTAATGGGTTTTACTGCCTTTGGACTGTGTAAAGCAGCAATTTATGTACATGTATCTCCACTCAGTATGTATTCAAAGAATGTCTAATACATTCAAGAAATAGTTACTGAGTTGCATGAAAATAAAGTTAATTTATGATCATCAGAGGTAGTCTTTTGTTTCGATTGATAAAAATATAAAAAAATAATTTTCTTTGAATTGGAGATCTAAATTTTTCTCCAAAGAACAGAATCCCCATCAAACTAGACAGAAGATACACTTCTTAATGGCCTGCATTTGAATCTTCTTTCAGTGGCAGCTTTGTCTCAGACGCGCCTGAGGTCCTCATCATTTACTGATGTCCCAACCTTCCCCCCCTCTGGGCCAGGTAATGACAGACTCCTAGAATCTCAATCCTGACCCTCTGGTGTCTCAAAAATCATTCTTATCAATGATGAGTTTTCTTTTTCAGACATCATAAGATGCGAATAGTGGGACCGGAGGAATGGTTCAGTGGTTAAGCACACACTCACTGTTCCTCCAGAGGTCCTGAGTGCAATTTCCAGCAGCACCACCATCTGTAATGAGATCTGGTGCCCTCTTTTGGCCTGCAGGCACACATGCAGACAGAACACTGTATATAATAAATATGTCTTTCAGAAAAAAACTTAAAACCTAACCAGTTTCCTAAAGAAAAAAAAATATGCTAATAGTGTGACCAACAAATCAGAGAAAAGTCACAGCCACAGACGCAAGAGGGCTGTCTGAAGATTATTAACCTCATGGATCCAGACAGTGAAATGTGTCATTTATTTTTGGCAAAAAAATTGAGCTTGGACTGTTTTAGGACTTCATATATAAAATAAACAGATGCCTACATTTAAAGATGAATTCTGTTATACACTGCATGCTGAATCAGTTGGGAATTTTGTAGATGGAAGTTTCTGTCCCGTCTGGTCCCAAAGAAACACACAGGGGCTTATATTAATTACAAATGGTTTGGTTTCTTAGCTCATGCTTATTATTAACTAGATCTTACAACTTAAGTTAACCCATAATTGTTATCTATGTTTAACCGCATGGCTTGGTATCTTTTCTCAGTAAGGCATTCTCATCTTGCTTCCTCTGCATCTGACTGAAGACTGCGTCTCTGCCTTTCCTCTTCCCAGAATTCTCCTAGTCTGGTCGCCCTGCCTATACTTCCTGCATGGCTACTTGACAATCAGCATTTTATTAAACCAATATGAGTGACAAATCTTTACAGTGTACAAGAGTATTATCCCAAAGCAAATTTTAAAAAAAAAATTTAAAAAGAGACTTACTTTAAGAATTCTCTTCATAGTAGGGCTTACACCCTTTGTGCCATAAGCAGTACTTTATGCAAGGAAGATATACAAGTAAAAACAGTTTGCTTTGTCTTTTTGATTGATTGTCCTCTGCCAAAGAACTGCAGAGTCTTCAAACCAATCAATGGACATTAGTAACAGTAATGACAATCATAACTGAGCAACAGTGTATCAGACACTTTTAGTCACAGTAGAGACAGCAGACTCTCTGAATCCACATGGCAAGTTGTGTAAAAGAAATAGAGAGAAAGCTAAGCCCAGAGGCAAAGCATTCTGCTTCACTTGCTTTTGGGTAAAGCCAAGGGATAGCTTTACTTTGTCTATATAACTACTTCATTTTTAAAAATCAGATATTAAAGGATGAACAAATCCGAGGACTCTAATCGGTAGTAAGCAACAATTCTACTTTATGCTGTGCAGAATCATAAATGGTGCTGGGAATGATAAAAATAGTACAATTTATGAAGTCCACTTGTTGCTCTGTTTCAAGAAATAAAGTTACTAAAGACTACCAAATTCTGCTTTGTTCAGAGCAGCAATTTGATTCCAGCCTTCATGAGATGATGCTCTGAAGAACACCTCGAAGAAATGCCTCTTATTCCCTTGTCATCTCCATTAGTCAGATGCCAGCCCCTGCAGAATCAAGACAGTGCCTCCCTCTGAGAAGCACAGACATTCTGTGTTTGCAGCCATGACCACTCCTACCCAGCAACACACCTTGAAGGAAACAATCTGGCATTATTGTTGTCTTAGTTTGTTTTCTGTTACTGTGGCTAAACCCTGAGAAAAGCCAGCTTAGGAGAGGGAAGGGTTTATTTCACCTGATGGCGTATAGTCTGTCATAAAGGGAAGTCAGGGCGCGAATGCAAGCAGAACCTGGAGGCAGGAACTCAAACAGAGACCACAGAGGAAGACTGCTTCCTGGCTTACTCTCTTCGGCATGCTCAGCTTGCTTCTTCACCAGCCCAGGGCCACTTGCCCAGGGGTGTCACTGCCCATAGTGTGCTGAACCTGCCCACATTAGTCATTTGTCAAGAAAATGTCCCCACAGACTTACTAAAGGCCTATCTTTATGCACATATTTCTTTTCAATTGATATTCACTCTTCCAAAGGGGCTCTAGCTTGTGTTGACAAAAACCAAAACCAAAACAAACCTAATCGACATAGCTGCCATCCTCATCTGTCTTATAAGTACCACTAAAGGTGGATGTAGAGGCCTTGCTGATAGTGTTAGAGCATACTATGAGAGCTATACACAGGCACACAGAATTCACTATCACTTCAGCGTTTGTAATTTGCAACATTTCTCACTGCAATAATCTATTTAATGATTATACATAAGATTACCTCTTCTATACAAGGTCTAATTTTAGGTTTTTGAGAAATGAGCGGAAGTCGGTAGCAAAATTTACTTGGCAATCCCAACTTTTAACAGGACATCCCTCTCTAGCAGTATTAGTGCCAGTAGCGACATCTACTGGTGGTATCAGAACAGAACTTCTCTACAAAAACGTAAAATAGTTTACAGACTTTAAAGGATTTTTTTAAAATTTTTTTTCTTATAGTGAAGAAAAACAATGTTTTTATGACATCAAGTCTGGTGCAAAGGAATATTGACATGAACAACATAGAGCAAGGTATGGCTCTTCAGTTTCAAACCCCCAGAAATTCTCTCTCTCACCATTTATTTATCTATTTGTGTTTAGTTGTTCATTTAATAAATTAATATTTATTATTAAATTAATTTTATTAATATTAAGATTTAATGTATTTGAGGAACAAGGGAAATAGTGTTAGAGTTTAGAAGAAAAACATTGGGCAGGCAAACTGTAGAACCCCACTAATGCCTGATGACTAGAAGGGATAAAAGCCATGCCACTGAGATTGATACAGAGGTCAGACACGTTGTAGACAGTCACATGGCAAGGAGGGAAGCTCTAGCATAGGAGTAAAGAAGCTCAGAATATCGGCATGAGCCTGAAGTGTCAAGGGAGGCATGCTTAGAAAAAGATGGAAGGAGATAAATAAAATGGTAAGCTTTTCTAAAGTATTAGTAGGTAGACTTGGGACCATATTGACTGCAGTTCATAAGCTTTGTTGATCGTGCATATTTTAATCTGTCTTTCCATCCACCCCTCTCTCTCTCTCTCTCTCTGTGTGTGTGTGTGTGTGTGTGTGGTATGTTGGGTGTATGTAGGTAGGACAGAGTGACAAAACACGGAGATAGAAATACTTGAATAGACAAGCCATGTAATCAAAAGATACACTTACTTGGCAAGAGCTAGTTAAGAACTGGGTGGCAGCAATTCATGGACTGCACTGACTTTGACAAGTCTCTCAAAACTAATTGTGATAATTTTAAAAAGCATCATGTTAAAAAATAGTCACAAAGGGGCATTTCATCAAAATGTATTGATCTTTTCATTCTTCTCTTTCAAGGTCCCGTGAGACCTTCGGAGCAGGTTCTAAGACCTGCTATTTTGCAGCCACCTCAAGCTCAACGCTGCAAAAACATAAGCAAAATATTTGGGCACGGTGAATTGAAATTCTGCAAAATTAAGGAAAATATCAAGCACAAGGTAAGACATTTCCTTTGGAAAGAGAGACATTGAAACACTCTTGGTGATTGTATTAAATTGGAGAGTGTTCCCTGAACCAGATTTTGTGGTTGCTGTCACCCCCAAGTGGGAACTCCAGAATGCTCACAGTATGAAACCTGAGGAAGCAATGATGGGCAGGGGCCAGAACCTGTGCTCAAATAATGGAGTAGGGGGTTCTGCATCCTCTGCTGTCCAAGGTCATAGTGAGGCTTTGCCAGTTTAGGTCACACCAGACATCTTCACAGATACCAGCAGCCAAGACTGCACACACAGAATAACAGTGGATGGAGCAGGGGAGCTTGGCAGCCTCCAGGGACAGATAAGACTTCTTTCTTCTAAACACTGAAGGGTCTGAATCCCTCCCTGTAAAGCTCTGCTAAAGGCCTACTCTTTTGTTGGGCATGCAGACGTGGGGTTCTGGAATGTCCTACACCTGCAGGTGTAGCTGTGACACTCTGGAGGAGTGAGGCATAACTTAGGCAGCTGGAATTTGAGTTAATTCCATCAGCCATTTGATTTCAGACTCTTGAGGTTGTTCGACTGGTTTGGTTTGGTTTTTGATGAACACAATGACAATAACACATGGAAGTGAAATGTATCAGTCATTTTGATTAAGGGAAAAAAAAACAGTCTTATACTGTAACTACCCATGCTTGTCCAAACCAGGCACCCAATAGTCTCCTTACTGGGGAAGAAAGGAAAGTGAACTTGGTCAGCATTTTTCAAAATTGTTATGCTTCCAAATCCTCTTCTTTATAAGATATGATTTTGAGGGACCCATTGTGAATTTTAATAATAAGTTAATCAATTATTAATGCATGGAAAATGATAAGTGTCTTATATGATAAAATATTCTTAATTTTAAGTTGATATATTACTGAGTAACAAGATCATCAGCATATACTTTGACCTTGGTTAACCACGGCACATGATTTTTTGTAGATATTTGTCAGCTTTTAAATTCTTGGTATAATAGGGAAATATTAATACTTTTATTGACAAGTACAAAAAATTCCAGTGGAAACAGAATTCACCTGACTTTGAAAACATGAACTACCCCTAGAACACATCTGCAAATCCCTAGGGGGAAGAAGAGGTGTCCAGAAAACACGGATGAGTTCTTTACCTCTGGACCTACTGCAGTCCTGGAGTCCCTCAGTCTCACATGTATGGAATCAGTATAGGCCATGCACATTACACACATGCTCAAAACCAGTTTCAAATGGACACAGTTACCCACGGGAAATGTCAGGATGAAGAGGTGAGCTGATTTCCTCTTACAGCGAGCGGGTGGCTGTGACAGCCAAGCTCTTAAGGTATTTCCAGAGACTGAGCAGCCTTGGAAAGTCCCCCATTAATCCAGAAGTAATCAATAAGTCCAAATGGCTAAAGTAGGGAGAAGTAACAAAAGGCAACAAGTTGGTGGGTATTATAATGAAATGTGCAGTCGCTGGAATCAGAGAACAGTACTTAACGTCACTTTCATTTGGTTGTGTGACTTGGGAGAGGACTCCAAGTTCTTTCCGTCAGCTGGCTCAGCTGTCAGCTGTGGGCAGTAGAAGGACAAAGTGCACTGAGCTGTGAAGAGCATGTGAGATGAGGCCCAGGAAGGGCTGGGGGCTGTGTCTGCACACAGGAACCTTCTAACATGTGTGGCTATAACCGGTTTCTGTCTGATGGTTGTAGACAGAGCAATTCTAATGAACTTTCAGGTGCATTTATTTTCTCCCCTTTTCAGATATCTGATGCAAACTCTAGTTTGCAAAGTGAAAATTTACCAAATGCCAGTTCAGTCCAGCTGTCTACTGATCTGCACGTCTCAGAGGAAACCTCGGGGTAAAATTATACAGCTAGTCCCTTCTCCAGAGTGTTTGAGACTAGAAGTGTTTCAGCTGAGTTGTTTGTTTGTTTGTTTTTTAGGTTTTTTTGTAATATTTGAATGCATATAATGTAATTCATATCTTTAGGATGACATCAAAATCTAAACATAAAAGACATGTACACAGAGTTGCAAACACCTTGAGTATATAATCTGAATGTAATTGTATACAATATTTTTAATGATTTTGACTTTGACCCATTGTAAAGAGGCCAAGAATACATGATATTTTATCAGTGCTCAAAATGCTTCAGATTTGGGAAAATTTAGTACCTCAGATTTCCTAATTAGGGATATTCAACCTAATAAGAAAACCAAAATGTTTCCTTTTTATTTTGTTTGCTTTGACCATTTTAACTATTCATATGCTGTAATTTGCTGACACTGTATGAAGAAATTGACAAGATTCTCATTTGAAAGCACATTTTATAAGAATGTTAGCTTAGAAAGCTCTTCAGAATACCTCAGCTATGCATTGTCATCATAGTAATATTGGATCGCCTTCATTATCTCATGGATTTTGGTCAGAATATTTAAAAAAGATATGACTAAACTTCAAGTATAAGTTGTCTTGCTATTAATCTTCCTTCCTTCCTTCCTTCTTTTTTTAATGTCCTTTCCCCCGCTTTCTAATCAATTTTGGTGTTATATATGATTACTTAGCATTAATTGTTTAGGTATAAAAGGAAAGCAGTATGCATCTGCTAAATGAAACATTAATGTTACTTGGCAGTAGTGGTGATGAAGGAATGTTTTATCTGGCAGAACACTGGTATGGTTGTGGACAAACATTGACTCCATCCAGGTTGAGTACTATGAGATCATAGGGATGTGCTCAGGGCCCTTAGCACAGCTGTCTACAGATAGAGGACTGCATGCTTGAGTTTTCTCATCTTGTAAACCAATTTTAATATAAAAATAAAATTTCTTGGAGTAGAAGAATTAAAACAATGCACATCCAAGTGTAACTGATAAGACCCCTGAAAATCTTGGATTGCTAAAGCATTGTTGGCCACTTGAGATAAAGAATAATGGCTAGGGATTGCTGGAATGCAGCAGATAAGGACTGGGCAGCCTTCCAGCTGGTCCTGCAGCCCACACTGTCAATGGCAGGAGGTCATCCACACAGGTCAACGCCCACGTCGTAACAGTAAGCAACAATATTCTGAATATCACCCCTGAAGGTCTCTAGTTTGTGTTTTCTTTTTCCTTCTCATTCATTTCATATGAGCAATGCTTATGTTTGAACCGCCTGTTTATTTTGCCTGCTAAGGCTTCAAGTAGATTCATCCACAAATTTAAAATACTAAGGGCTTATTTCTGTGTAATAGATGCCAACCAAAGGAAGACAAGCATTCTTTTAAAAGCTGCAGTTCTGACTTCGTTTTTGGAGAAAACATGGTAGAAAGAGTCTTGGTAAGATTTTGACAAATTATCTTAGGGGGCCTGTTGTTTCACATTTCTCGAGGCAGATTAATTAGTGTTCAGTTCGAGACTATTTCTCAGTTCTGGGTTAAAACTCACAATTTCTTTCTTTAACTACAAAAGGCTTCTGGGAAGCACATCCCAACTGTTTGAATAACAGATGTTAAGCCCATAGAGCAGTGGTTCTCAACCTTCCAAATGCTGCAACCCTTTAATACAGTTCCTCATGGGCTGACCCCAACAATAAGACTATTTTGGTGGTGCTTCCTAACTGTAGCTTTGTTACTGTTGTGAGCTGTAGTGTAAGCCAGAAGTGTGCCACTTTAGCTAAGCTGGTTTCACATGGGTGCTTCATATTCCAGCAGAGTCCTGTGCTTGTACAGCAAGTGCTCCACCCACTGAGCCATCTCCTAGACCCCTCGTTTCCGTTTCCAGGGAATAAGGTAGAGAGCCATAGAGGAAAATGTCAATGATGTCCTCCCCTTGCCTCTGCGTGCCTGCTCCCCATGGAAGAACACACCTGCCACATATGCCTATCTCTCTGTCTCTCTCTCTCTCTCTCTCTCTCTCTTTCTCTCTCTCTCTCACACACACGCACACACACACACACACACACAAATGCCACAATGATGAAATAATTATTTTGTACAATTGGTATATGCTAATAAAAATTGGTATATGCTAATAAAAACTAGTTGATTTCAATATTTTTAGGGCTCTCCAGACTCCAGAGTCAGTTTTTTTCTTATCTTGCTTGTTGTAGACCTAACTCAGGACTGGCCTTCATTCTAAGGGTAGTTCTGTTGCTTTTTAGCTTAAAGTACCTTTCTGTCACTGCCAGAAAGGGCAGGTCCACCTGCAGGTGCCTCTCATCCTTGCTCTAAAGGGGCTAAGGTAGGACAGAGAGTTTCAGGCCAACTTGCACTAAATAGTGAGACTCTCTCCAACAGACAGTCAAAAGACAAAACAAAACAAAGCGATGGGCAGCTCCAACAGTAGTGGCGATATTAATCCACATCTTTGGATCAGAGCTTGAATGAAGCAAGCAAGCTCCAGGTGAAAGCCTGTGTAATATGTTGAGGCAAGTTCTTTTTCTTTTCCTAAGCTTGACACTTGAGTACCATAGGCTCTGTAGGATGCTAGAGCAATAAAGATGCTTTCCATATTCACAAGATGGTCTTTAGCATTCACTTTACCAACCACGTACCAGGTTCCTATGGTAATGAGGTACTGCGTTCATATACTGATGACCTTGTTACTTAAATATTTTACCCTTTAGTTTAAATGCTTGTTTTTACTCTTTGCTACTTAAAATAGTTTTAGGTATATTTGGTTTGATTTATACACAGTTAGTGGACATTGTATGCAGAATGTAGACTTTTTAAAAATATGATATTAAAGCAGAGGGAACACTGTTTGGGAGGAGGAAAGGGACCAGCAGGAGAAGATATATATGGAGATGCCATAGCGAGTCCTATTACCTTGCATGCTTATGCTAGGAGGAAAGTCTTTTTTCTGTGACTGCATGCGTGTCTGTGTTCTATGTATCAGGTGTGTATGCATGTGTATGTACATGCCATGCATGTATATTTGGAGACCACAGGACATTTCTTACTACTCTCATTTTATTCCCATGAGACTGGGTCTCGCTGATCCTGCACCTTTCTGGACTAGGCTGGCTGCCAAGCTCTTCTCTCCACCTGCCTCCGCCTCCTAGTGCTGGGGTGCTATGACCATGTGGCCATACTTAGCTTTCTTTGTGTCCTGAGCATGTGCCCTCAAGCTTGTACAATAACCACCATTACCCACTGGGCCATCTCCTGGCTCCCCATCTGGGGAGCTTTTAAATGAGATCTTAAGAGCTGGGCTTCACCCAGACTCATTAGATCAGAAATGCTGTGGGTGAGGTCAAGGACCAAGTCATTCTAACGTACAGCTAAGTTTGAGATTCCCCTAAGTAGTTATGCGAAGCTAAAGCAGACAGGTACTCTAGAGAGGCTTACAGTGTAGTAAGGGAACAGAGAAACCTGCGAGAATAAATGACAGCTGGGACCACAGGGGCTGGGGTGAGAGAGCATTTGTCAATACAGCTCACGGACACTTTTGGATGAGGCTTATGAAAGAGTTTCCCATTTCTCTCAGGGAGGATGTCCCAAGGATGCTGGAACAATCCAGATGGTTTGTGTTTTTCCTCTAATTAATCTTGTGAAGCCATGGTCTTGTGGTACGGGTGTCAAAGTGCATTCCCAACTTTAGCTTTTAGAATGAGTCACAAATCTTTCTGAGCTGGTATTTCTGTTTTCTTAAACTGAAAATGATTGTAATTTGTCTTTACTTAGTTTTAGGGATGATACTGATTTCCCATTAAGTATCATAGAAGAATCTTGAGTTCAGAAAGGCAAGATTTGAATGTGTTCTCAAGTGGCAGTGTTCCACCTTCACTGTTCTGCAAGGGG